GGGGGGGGAGAAGGGACACAGAAGAAACCCCCCCCTCACAGTGGCCTCAACAGCCCCGCTAGGCAGGGAACTCAATAAACCCACCTCCGCACAGTCTGCCGCAATTTCTTTCGCACACCAAAATGACAAAATCTTTACGCTCAAATCGTTCCCGGCGCAGAATCCTTGCGGCTCACCAACCTTCCTTATTTGGAAAGCCCTCAATCCATACTACCACCATCACCCCATACTACCACCATCACCATGCCATTTCTTTCCAGTGCATGGCCTCAACCCCTCCTCTATAAAATTCACAGCCCAACAACTTCCACCACTTGTCCGCCGCAATCAAAACAGAGGGACACATTTTTTATTTTCCCTGCCAGTGATTTGCTGGAAACAACCTTGTGCTCTCAGGTTCGTTAGCCCGAAGCAACAGGTTCGACGATACCGAGGGGACCCAAATAGACTCAGAAACTGTGGGACCCTACTGGCGTCAGAGAAAGGGTCCAGTCGTACAACCACCACCGCTGCAGAGGGGACCCAAATAGACTCAGAAACTGTGGGACCTTCTGCGAAACTGGCTGGGACTCTTCAAATGGAAGTCCTCCCAGGGCCCAACTGCCCTCCCTTACAGATGTGCAGATGTGCAGATGTGCCTGGTCCAGATGTGCAGATGTGTGCATGGTTCCAGCAGCCTGCACCCGGTTCCAGCAGCCCTGTGCCCAGTCCCAGCCGGCAGCATTTGGGACACGTCTGGCAGCCTGCACGCGGTTCCACTCCCTTAAGGTCCCATCAACCAGCATTTGGGACATGTCCGGCAGCCTGCGCCCGGTTGCCTCCCTTAAGGTCCCAGCAGGCCGCATTTCGGACATGGTCCCAGGCAACTGGAGAAGCTGTTTTGAGCCTGTCCGGAAATTTAGGAGTCCGCGTGCCGTAGTAGATAAAATGCATCAGCGGCGGGCGGCCTCCAAAAGGAAAAGGCGCCCGCAGCCGAAAGCTGGCATGTACTGGTGCTTTAAGGTCCCAGCCGGCAGCCTTTCGGACATGTCCGGCAGCCTGCGCCCGGTTCCACTCCCTTAAGGCCCCAGCAGGCAACATGTTTAGACATGTCCGGCAGCCTGTGCGCGGTCCCGCTCCCTTAAGTCCCAGCAGGCAGCACTTGGGACATGTGCAGCAGCCTGCACCCGGTTCCACTCATTTCCCTCAGTGTCCCGGGTAACCGCCGTCGGAGGGAAAGGGAAGGGCACCCGCACTTTGAACGAAACTCCCGGACAAATACCCTCGAGCTGGCTGCATAGCCCATCGCACACCCACCCTGCAAAAAACAGCGAAATTGGGCACTTCCGTCAGCAAGCAACCCCAGCAAATCCGAGAATGAAATAATAATAATAATAATATTATAATAATAATCTAATATAATAATAATAATAATATTATAATAATAATCTATAATAATAATAATCATCATAATAATCATAATAATAATATAATAATAATAATAATAATAATAATATATAATATAATATAATATATTATAATATAATATAATATAATATAATATAATGCTTGTTATGAAATGTAACAATGGGTGTAGCTAAGTTGGTACACCCAGGAACAGTTGAATTGAAATATGAATCAGACCCAAATCTGAATCCAGATACAATCAGACGACCAGAATAAAATAATTCTTGAGTTATTACCTGGGCCCCGTGAGTCCAATGGCCATCCCCCTTTTAAAGAAGGAAGGGAAAGGGAGCAAATTTTAAAGGATGGAGAAAGAGGAGAGAGAATAAAGGGGTAAAAGAAAAAGAGGCAAAAAAAAAAAAAAAAAGGAAATGTATTAACCATTGCTCGTTACATCCTCCACATCCACAGATGCATCAAGGAGAGTTTTTTTTTCTTTTTTCTAATTTTTTTTACCATTTCACTCTATTTCTGCGTGTCAAATTCAAATTCAGTTTCAACATCTCCTCAAAATTTATATCATGAAAAAAAAAAAGAAAAGAAAAAAAAAATCATGAACATCATCCACAAATCGATATTGAGAGCCCCGTTGATTGGATCCTGCACTGGTATATGAGAAAGGAAAAAAGATGGTCATGATAAGAAAAGGATGCAAAGGTTCTTCATTTGCAAAGAAGAGCGGTTCCTCAAAAAAAGGTTGGATGAGAATATTTTTTTGGCGAGATGCGAGAGATGGTCAGGTTTGAACTGGACCTGACCTGACCTTCGTCGTAGCATCGGGGGGTTAGCTAAAACGACGGGTGGGTATACGGTATTCCAATGGGAGGTTGCTAAAACAATTTTTGGGGGAGGTTAAAACAACGGGATCTATGCCACGGGGGGTTGCTAAAACAACGGGTGGGTATTCCAATGGGAAAAAGAAGTAGGCCCCGATTGGCGTGCATCCTGTCTGTGTGCAATGGACGAAAGTATGTGTAGGGAAAGTTTGGCGGAAGATAGAAATCTGGTGAAGGGAATGCGCTTCATCGATGATGAGACTCTTTTCGTCTGGTGTCGAGTAAGGAACGGGGTGAGGAGAGAAAGAAGAAGGTGATGATGGGCTTGTTAGAGGAAGCATATGACGAGCAACTGATGCCGAAAAGGACGGACGATGGAAAGGGAGTATGGGATATTCTGGGAAGAAGAATGGAAGTTGAAAGAAAGAAGGTGACGTGTCAAGACTACCCGAAGAACATGGAGAACGTGTGGGCGGAAGGAGAGTTCATTTGACTCATACACACTCATACACGTCGACCAGACAGAAGAAAGCGGTAATCAATCACGAGGAGTGCCATGTGTAGGATGAGGCAAATGACCGCTTCGCCTACAGGATTACCCGAAGGAGATGTTTAATGAGTGTCGACCAGACCGATGATTTGGTTGGGTTGGGTTTGCTGACCCTGAAAGGTCAGCTTCGCCTGCAGGATTACGCAAAGGAGATGTTAAATGAGTGTCTGATGAAGTTTATCAAGGATCGAGCCCCGAAAAATGGGGCCAGAGGTTGTGCAGCTGGTAGCTCCCAGTTTGAGGGGGTAAGTAGGGGGGTTAGGAAAGAGTAAGGAAGGGCAGAAACGGACGGATTTTCAGGAGGAAGTCTAGTACCGGTTTTTAAGGGTAGGAAGTCTTGTCGGGTCGAAGGGACCGGAAAAAACGGGTGACGAAGCGGACCCAAAAACGGGGGGGGGGGAAGTTCTGGAAGTTTATTTCAGGTCGGACAGGACTCAATGGGACCAGAGGGAACTGGGATGATACCGGATCGAAAGGTCAAATCGTTTGGTACTTATAGAACAATTGGAATGTCAAACAGCATTTCGAAACCAACCCCTGATGAAGCCGTAGCTGGCAGCGGCCGAAACGCATAGGGGATAAGCCAGTCTTCTTTTTCATCTTCCAGCAGTTTCCTGAAGTTTTGGCGGCGAGGATGAGTAGAAGATGCCATAGCTAGTCTATGGTTACACCATAGCTAGTCTATGTTCGGTCTGGAGTGTTCCTGTTTATCTGTTGGAGACCTGTTTCGAAGAAGTTTCGAGATTTCACATATTTTGCTATTCCGTGCATGAGCGCACGTATGGTTATGTGTATCGCACTCGGCTCAGACTCTGTTTGACTTTGCTTTGTCTGTAACATCCTTGCACAGAATGCATACAATGATCTTATAGAAGAAGAAGAAGAAGAAGAAGAAGAAGAAGAAGAAGAAGGAGGAGAAGGAGAAGAAGAAGAAGAAGAAGAAGAAGAAGAAGAAGAAGAAGGAGGAGGAGGAGGAGAAGGAGGAGAAGAAGAAGAAGAAGAAGAAGGAGGAGGAGGAGGAGAAGGAGGAGAAGGAGAAGAAGAAGAAGAAGAAGAAGAAGAAGAAGAAGAAGACACACTGCACGACCATGATGTGCAGGCTTTGACTTATTTTCATAAATAGTCAGACCACCATGCGGCATGTGGCGCACATAAGGTCAAGTCATGGGGTCAACAGGAGATTATGGAGGTACTGGCATCAAACACATTCATTAAGAAG